GTAGTAAATAGCATGGCCACTAGTATACAGGATAGGTTTCATCAGCAGAGCACCTATTGTGATAGGGAATGTCTAGGAGCAGCTAATGGTGTGTCTTTTTCTGAATAGGTATTCACAAGGCCTTCTGCTCTGTATGTTCTCACAAGCTCTTATAAGAACTCTCCTGAGGCAGGAAGGTCAGAGATCCAATTCAGAAGTAGGTGGACAAAATCCTTCCATCACTTTCAGAGTCTATTTCACTTCAGGAGAAAGAATGAAATTTGTTAAATTTTGCCAGAGTGAGTATCAGCCTTGGAGCAGCAAAAGTTAGATTTACACCGTTGACCTCTTTCCACTGCATTTCTTTCCCCCTGCACAGAGCACTGAGGCAGAGCTGTTCACTATGTGCTTTCCAGGGATGAGAAGAGAACTGTCCTTTCAATTATTATATTCCAGTGAAGAGAAGGCCCAATTTGATACTATACCATATATCTCTCTTAATAAGTATGGGAATCCTAACAAGAATTACATGGAAAATCTTACCTTTGTCAAAAATTTAAACAGTTGCCATTATGTTGCCAGAATGTGAGAAGAGAGAACTAAATTTTTTTAAAAAGGGAATTAGATTTCTTTTAGAGTTGCCAAATATAAGGGGGCAGCTAGGTGGGGTAGTAGCCAGAGCACTGGTCCTGGAGTCAGGAGGACTGGGTTCAAATGTGACCTCAGACACATAGCACTCACTAGCTGTGTGACTCTGGGCAACCCCAAGTGCCTTACCAAAAAACAAAACACAAACAAACAACAAAAAACAGAAAACAGAAACAGAGTGGCAAAACATTGATGCTCTGAAAAACTTGCAGAAATTCATTCTAAGATTTTCTCTTCTTTCTGGTACACTGCCATCAAATTATTTAATTCACTTGCTTTTTTGTTTCTCCTTTTTTCTCTTCATTTAGTAGTCTTGCACTGCCCTCCCCCTTAGAAAAAGCCAACCTAAAGAGTGACCTAATAATTTAGCTTCTCATCCTGGCTCAGCTTTCAATCTTGAAAAATTGAAACAGCAAGAGATTAATGTTTGGATGCTACGAGGTCTAGAGTTTTGCTCATTAGTTCTCGTTTGGGTTGCTGTGGTTAACATCATCATGTAGAAGGCTTTACAGGGGATATACTGTATATCCTCTAATCCTAATTCTAGCCTTTCCTTAGAGTGATTATAGCTTGTCCCCACATATTAGTTATCACTATCTGGAGAGACCTGAGAGGTAGCTATTATTATCCCCATTGTACAGATGAAAAAACAAGGCAGTGAGGTTAAGCAGCTTGCTCCAGGTAAAGCAGTGAAGGCTGGATTAGAACTAATTCAGGGATCCCTGGCAGACTTAGCTTTGGCAACTCTTTATTTGCCATCAGACAGAGCTGGAATAACGCAAATAATAGCTTTAGCACTGGAAGGATTTTTGAGGCTAGGGTAAACTGCCTCTCAGGGCTCTCAAGATAATAAATAATAATAAAAAGGTAAGTAAAAGTAAGAGGAACTGACTTTTTGTCCAATGACTTTAAAAAGCCTCTAGCTGAGGTTTTGTGGAATTTTTTAAAAATTCTGTAATGAACACCAATATGATTGTAAAGCACATGTCCTGCAGCAATTGTTGTTTGAAATAGCTACTTCAACATGTATTATAGAGAAAAATGCTTTCTACCTGGCAGAACCAAACGGCCTAAAATAATGATTGAATCATTTTTTGCCTTCTAAAAGGCCTGTTTGAAGGGCTTTTGAAAGACAGACACAGACTACACTAAAACCTGCCAGTTTTAAGATGTTCAGCATTTCTGAAACCAAATATTCTTCCTCTCAGCTGATTTTTACATACCATCCCCAAATTTCAAGTGCTTTTCTGTTCAGTGAGGAGCTGCCCATGCCACAGGCTTCTCACGCCAACAGAAACTAGAAAGTTTTCCAGCGTAAGGCATTTGTTTGGCTAACTCCTTTCTATTCCTGGCCCAGAATTTCCTGAGCCAGCACCCTCCTCCTGCTGCTTAGCCATGTAAAAAGGAAGAAGAGAGAAGAGCTCAGAAGGGCTACCTCCTCCCTTTAATGTGATTTAAGGATCTATTTTTCAGATTTCCAGTCCATTTCCAAAGGGACTTTGGGCAGAGTTTCTTGTGTGAAGAAAAGTCACCCAAAGGATTTGCTCAACCTAATCACTTTTACTTTCAAATAGGGTGAGGTAGGGGTGGGGGAGAGAAAGGGAGGAAGAGAGAAATCTCTAGCTTCCCTGGAACATAAAAGCCGGTATGCAGAATATGTTTCCATTGGCTGCTGTCTCTGAGCTCAGAATACCAGAAGCAGCTCCATTCCCAAAGATGACAGTCAACTGGACTGCACTTAAGTGAAAAATAAACATATGAAACCATATTTCCCATTCTATAGAACACTGTAGAAGTGTCTACTGTTTCTTTTGGGATTTAAACTAGATACATTCATCAGTTCATGAAAAGGAGGTGGGGTGGGTAGGGGAAATCTCATTGGCTGGTTTCTGGGAAATGCATAGAGCCAGGCAAAGGTAACAAATCTGTGTCACCCAATACTTTCCAAATTAAACAAATATCCTTGTCATTCCATACCTTTTGAAGACTAGGCAGGAAGTACTAAAATTATTTTCTCATTTTGCTTTTATAAGGGCCTTTATAATCTGAAAATGTGTTCACAAACCACCCCTAGCCTAAACCAACTTAAAAATAAGAAAACTCAGGCCTCCACTAAAGCTCTATTGATATGCCTCATCATGGTGTGGAGCTGAATCTAGGTTTGTGGGGGCGATCCAAGGCTTGTTTTGCCTGCTAAGGGTGTTCTCTGGCAGATCCTGTGAAACTGGAAAAATTTGCAATATATTATACATTTATCCCAATAGCAGCCTAACCTGAATTTGGAATTGTTCAATTCTAGAAGATCAGTCTCAGGTTTATGGATTTTTTTGGATATGGCAACTCATTAGGACCATCAACCAAGGACCAGAAGGATTGTGATCTGCATCAGTGGCATGAACACCCATATAGATGAAATATTGAAGTATTGATGTAAGAAAATACAATATTTTAATACCTCTAAAGATAGGCTAAATCATATTCATACCAGAAACTCACTGATAGTTTACAAATTAGCTCTAAGAGACAGTAACAAACCATCCTTCAAAAAGAGCCAGGGTACATAACAAAACAGGAAAATAAAAATGTTGGAGATGTGGGAAAATTGGAACACTAATGCATTGTTGGTGGAGTTGTGAAATGATCCAACCATTTTGGAGAATACTTTGGAACTATGCCCAAAGGGCTATAAAAATGTGTATCCCTTTGATCCAGCAATAGCACTTCTAGGGCTATATCCCAAAGAGATCATACAAATGGGAAAAGGACCCACATGTACAAAAATATTCACAGCAGCTCTTTTTGTGGTGGCAAAGAATTGAAAATTGAGAGGATGCCCATCAACTGGGGAATGGCTGAACAAGTTGTGGTATATGAATGTAATGAAATACTATTGTGCTGTAAGAAATGATTTCAGAAAAACCTGGAAAGACTTGTATGGTCTGATGCTGAGTGAAGTGAGCAGAAACAAGAGAATGTTGTACACAATAACAGCCATGTTGTGCATTGACTAATATTGATAGACTTAACCATTCTCAGCAATACAAGGATCTAAGACATTTCCAGAGGCCTCGTGATGGAAAATGCTGTCCACATCCAAAGAAAGAACTATGGAAATTGAATCGCTATCATTTTTTTTTCTCTTCTGTTGAGTTTTGTTTCCTCTTTCTAATGGTTCCTCCTATTGGTTTTAATTTTTACTTACAACTTCACTAATGTGAAAATATGTTTAATAGGAATGTACATGGATAGCCTATATGAGATTGTGCGCTGTCTTGGGGAGGGTGGTGGAGAGGAAGGGGGAGAAAAATTTTAAACTTTTTTTTTTAATTTAAAGCATATGGAAGTGATTGTTGATAAATCAAAATAAATTAATAAAATCCAAAAAAAGAGCCGGGGTACCAATATTATTTTCTAACTGCCTACTAAAGTGCTTGACTGGACTTATAAAGTCTTATATTAGTATGCAAATACATCTTGGTCAAGGCTAATAGAAAACACAACAGAAACACAAAGAGATTAAGTGACTTACCAATCATCACATTGCTAGTAAATTTCAGAGGCAGGATTTCAACTCAGGACTTTCTGACTCCAAATCCAGCATCCCATTTGCTATCTTATAGTGCCTCCCCAACTTTTGGGTTTTTTTGCAATTGGGGTTAAGTGACTTACCCAGGGTCACACAGCTAGTGTCAAGTGTTTGGTCTGAGGCTGGATTTGAACTCAGGTCCTCCTGCCTTCAGGGTCAGTGCTCTATCCACTGCACAACCTAGCTGCCCCCCTCCCTAACTTTCTAAAGATCTTCCAGATCTACAAATTATGAGACAGGTGATGTAATGGATAGACTCAAAGTCAAAAAAATATGAATCCAAATCTGGTCTCAAATACTTACTAGCTGTGTGATCAAAACAAACAACTAACCTCTTCATGCCTCAGTTTCCCTATCTATAAAATGTAAATAATTTTTTTAAAAAATCTACCTCCAAATCTTGTTGTAAGGATAAAGTGAAAGAACATTAGTAAAGCCCTTTGCAAACTTTAAATCACTATATAAATGCCAAAAGAGCTTTTGATTTGGATGAGAAAGCTTAAAGGGTCTTTCAAGAGTCTCATTTCCCTGTAAACCAAACTTTTCCTGAATGTAACCTTTCATACATAACTGAATAGCAGAGGGGGGGAAAAACAGGCAAAGAGAAAACAAACATAATTTGTTTTATTATTTAAGTGATTTGAGGCAGCATATTTCAGTATAAAAATGTTTGCCTGTGGTATCTGTGTAACTGCCTTTATACTGTGGCAGGTAAAAGATGAAATGATTGAGGAAACAAAGGTTCAAGCTTCTGAGCATATCAATTTATTAAGCAATGCATGCTGATTGCCTAACAAATTGGGACCAGGTTTTCCTCAGCTTTGGTACTGGACTCTGAATACAGTGGGCAACATATTTTTATGTATTTGAAAGCAACTAATCAAATAAGACCAATTAATTAAAAGAAAACAATTAACCAAGATACAAAATTAGGTAATCTGATTTCTGATTGGAAGAAAGATTAGGGATTTCCCAAGTTGGGAATGGATGAGCAAACAGGTGCAGTTTCCTGAAATCAGAAAAAGAGATGTCCCACTCCCTGCAAGTGTCTATATTCAATCAAAGGAACATGGGAATGCTAACTTATTAACCAGAAGGGCCAGTTTTCAGATAAGACAGATAAGCTGCTTGAGATGTATAATTGTGAGAAAACTCCTTGCATCAATCTTCAGATCTGACTAGGTTTCTGGTCAGCATAATGTAGGTCCTTAGTTAAGGGTCTCTAAGCAGCAAGTAGAGGTATCTTCTTAGCTATGCAGGGCTAGGTTCAAACAATGCAATAAAGCTTTCTCACAATTTCCACAATTAAAATTTTCTCACAAGGTAGAAATTGGACTAGATGTATAACTGAAAAGAAAGAGAAATGAGTTAGCTCCAGAATTGAGTCACAAGATGGAATCAGTGTGAATCACACAATTCCCAATACCATTTGCTGTTTTAATTCCCTCAATTCCCCCTTTTGATTCATGGGGGAGGGGCCAGCTCATTCCCACCAGGGATTACTAATCTATAAACCAAATTTATAAAGTTTTCTTATATTCCTAATCAGAATTGCTTAAGTTAGATTACAGATCAAACAACTTAGAGCGATCACAATAGACTAATTTTGACAGGGGAGATTTGTATGTCACCAAGGTAACCAAGAAAACTCAACAAATATAAAGACCATGAAATGAAAGGCCAAAGCAATATCATCATAAATAAATAATATCAAGCTCATATCCTAGTAATCCACTTCCAATGTCCATTTAATCATTTCATCTTGTCTTGAATCTCAGGTGTTCCATGCAGTTATCTGGCCCCTGGAGATATCTTCTCTTGGTCATTCTGGAATAAGCCACATTTTTAGGACAGCTCTGAAGGGGGGTCTGCTTCTCTGGTTCCAAGTCACTTGTGGAGATTTCCTAGGTTAACTCTGCTAATATCTGCCAGTAACAAGACAATACATTTGAGTAGAATCACTTAAATTTGGTTCTTCAAATATGAAACTTGAGAATTTCAGTTTTTACATACCACTCGGTGTTTTTATCTTTACCTAAACCCTGATACAAGAATCTTAAAAAAAAATTTGTCTTTGATACATTTAGCTTTTCTCAGCAATGCAAGGATCTAAGACATCTCCAAAAGTCTCATGATGGAAAATATTATCCACATCCAGAGAAAGAATTGTGGAGTTTGAATGCAGATTGAAGCATACTATTTGCTCTTTTTTTTTCCTTCTGTTTTGTTTTGTTTCTTCTTCTTTGTGGTTCCTCCTATTGGTTCTAATTCTTCTTTACAACATGACTAATGGGAAAATACGCTTAATAGGAATGTATACGTAGAGCCTATATCAGATGCCGTCTTGGGACAGAGGTGGAGAAGGAGGGGAAGAAACTCTAAAACTCAAAAGCTTACGGAAGTGAATGTTGAAAACTAAAAATAAATAATTTTTTTAAAGTTTGGATTAAATGATCTCTAAATTATTATCTAGTAATAAATTCCTCATAATTCAAAAAAAAGTCATAGGGTCTAACTCATAAAACAAACTCTTCTGTTTTTTAAAATTATCAGACACTTTAAAATGAGAAAATAATTTCACTTTCTTTACAATGTAAAATCCTCAATCCAGTTTTGAGAACTTATTACTAAAACACGCTCAAAGCCTGAATTTCCATGCTACATGCATTTGGAAGCTAATCCTATCTATCTATCTATCTATCTATCTATCTATCTATCTATCTATCTATCTATCTATCTATCTGTCTGTCTGTCTGTCTGTCTGTCTGTCTATCTATCTATCTCTATGTATATATGTACATATATGTTGTTCTTAGAGAAAACAGTGTAACTTTCCCAAAATTTACTATTTCATTTAATTAGAGAAAAATTTTGCATTACATCTTTGTCTTACTATTTTATCCAATTCCCCCTTTAGGAGGATATCCTCTCTATATCATAATTTGATTGTAATAGTTTTCATATTTGCATCTTATTATAAGTAAATCAGAGATGTTCCAGTAGCATTCAATTAAATAATAAATTTAGTATTGTACTTGCAAAACTTCTACTGCTCACCTGCACTGATTATAAAAACTTGCAATGAAAGGAAGAGGGGAATAATTATAACAATGTCAAGACTTGGTCCCTTAAGGGAACAGACTAACTTAATATAACAGGGGGAAAACTCCCCTACCTCTGTTTGACTCCAGGCATGAGTCATATGTAACTGCCAATCATATATAGTCACGCTAGGTCAGGATTAACCAGGTAGGGAAATTTCCTGTTGGGAAAAGGAATATTACAATGGGGAAAATGAGTCAAGGAGTTTCTACCTATGCCAAGATCATCCCCTCAACTTTCCCCGGGGGCAGATATCTACCTGTAGCAGTTCTCAGATTGCAGCACATACTATTCTCTACCATTGACTTCATGACAATTCAGTCATCCCCATAATCAAAATTCAAAACAATAGTAAATTATAGTCCCAAGAGTTTTTATCTCAAATAACAAAATTTCACTAACCACAACTTAGGCGCTGAATATTATTGATTTCTCATGTTTCCCTAGAAGTTGCATTTCATTTATTTTTTACTTATAAATTAAAAATAACCACATTCTGCAGTTTTCCTCTGTACACATTAGGAAAATGAGAGAAACAGAGATGACTCGCTTAAGATCACAGAGCTAATAAATTTTTCTAGAGTTTGATGCCATAATTAATAGGGGAACACATTTCACCACAGCATAATTTAGTTACAGGACAAATCACAACCAAATCAAATCTGGATTTATGATCACAAAATCAAAACCTCAATTTTCTAGGGGTATTCGGCACCTGCACTTTAAAATTTAAAGCCCAGAATTAAAAGCTTACAGACACATGGTTTCTTTCTCATTTTCTTTGGTGATCTTGCTTCTAATTCATCTAAACAATTAATTCTCTTAAATAAAGCTTTGAAAGTTGTACTTCAGCCTTCCCAAAAGGCATTTCTAATTTCTAGTCACCTCTCCACTTCTGTCATTGGGAATATCTATCCCCATTATCTACAAGAGAGTATGGGCCCAGGTGATGGTGGAGGCAGGTATGTGTTTCCTTCTCATAGACCCCTTTTCAGTTTATAAAGGCAAATATCCCATGGGAAAAACAACTGACCTAGAAAACAGATCAAGAAGAGATAATTTAAGAATTATTTGACTACCTGAAAGCCATGATCAAAAAAAGAGCCTAGACATCACTTTTCAAGAAATTATAAAGGAAAACTGTCCCAACAGATAGAGAATCAGAAGGCAACATAAAAATCAATAGAATCTCCCAATCATCTCCTGAAAGAGATGTCAAAATGAAAACTCCCAGAAATTTTATAGCCAAAACCCAAAACTCCTAGATCAAGGAGAAAATACTGAAAGCAACTAGAAAGAAACAATTCAAATGCCATAGAACCACAGTCAGGATCACAAAAGATTTAGTAGTTACCATGATAAAGGAGCAGAGAGCTTGTAATACGATATTCCAGAAGACAAAGGAGCTCAATTACAACTTAAAAATAACCTGCCCAGCAAAACTGTGTATAATCCTTTGAGGTAAAATGGTTATTTAATGAAATAGAGATCTTTCAGATTTCCCTGATGAAAATACCAGAGCTGAGTAGGAAATTTGACATTCAAATACAAGGCTCATGAGAAACATAAAAAGGTAAATATGAGTGAAAAATCATAAGGGATTCAATAAGGTTAAACTGTTTACATTCCTACATGGGAAGATGATACACGTTACCCCTAAGAACTTTATCATCATTAGTGCAGTTAGGAGTCTACTTAGGTGTGAGTATATTATATTGGGATGACCTCAAATGAAGAAGGGAAGAGTGAGAAAGAAAAATACATTGGAATGGGGGAAAGGAAGAATGGAGAAAATAACCTCACATAAAAGAGGCACGCAAGGATGAGTTAGGATGAATTAGAGTTAGAGAATAGGATGGAGGGAGAAACACAGTTAGCAGTCATAAGTATAAATGTGAATGGAATGAACTTACCCACAGAACAGAAGAGGATAGCAGAAAGGATTAGAAACCAGAATCTAACAGTAATTTATTTACAAGAAACACACTTGAAACATAAAGACATCCAGAATTAAAACAAGGGACTATAGTAGAATCTGCTGAAGTAAAAAAACAAAAACAAAAAAAAAAAACAACAACCAGGGGTGTCAGTCAAGATCTCAGACAAAGCAAAAGCAAAAATAGATCTAATTAAAAAAGGTAAACAGGAAAATTACATTTTGCTAAAAGGTAATAGAGACAATGAATTAACATCAATGCTGAATATATAGGCACCAAACGGCATAGCATCTAAATTTTTGAAGGAAAAGTTCATTGAAATAAAGGAGACAAAAGAAAATATACCTCAATTTATCCCATCTCAAACATGGTAAAATCTAACCATAAAATTAACAAGAAAAAAGTTAAAGAGATTAATAGAATTTTAGAAAAATTAGATATGATAAACTTCTGGAAAATATTGCATGGGAATAGAAAGGAGTATATCTGTTCTCAGCTGCATAGCATATCATCACATAAATTGACCATGTATTAGAACATACAAATCTCACAAACAAATGCAGAAAAGAAGAAATATTAAATCATCATTTTCAGGCCATAATACAATAAAAATTACTTTTGAGAAATGCTCTTTAAAGCATAGATTTAAAAACTAATTGGAAACTAAATAATCTAATCCTAAGAATGATTGGGTCAAAGAACAAATCATAGAAACAATAAAAAATTTCATTAAAGATAATGGCAAAATGAGACAACATACCAAAATTTATGGGATGCAGACGAAGCAGTACTTAGGAGAAAATGTATATCTCTAAATGCTTAAATCAATAAAAGAGAGAAAGAACAGATCAGCAAATTGGGCATGCATCTAAAAATATATAAAGAATGAATTTTAAATCCCCAGTTAAGCACAATAATAGAAATTCAGAAAAACAAAGGAGAGATCAATAAAATTAAAAATTAAAAACCCATAGAACTAATAAATAAAACTAGGTGCTGGTTTTATGAAAAATAAAATAGATAAACCATTGACCAATTTAATTTTTTTAAAAATAACAAAGAAAACCAAATTAGCAGTATCAAAACTGGAAAGGGAGAATGTACAACCAATGAAAATGAAATTAAAACAATTATTAGGAGCTATTTTGCCCAATTTTATGCCAATAGAACTGACAATGTAAATAAAAGGAGTGAATATTTACAAAATATAAACTGATGAGATTAAAGAAATATGAATTGTCCAGAAAATGAAATAGAATACTTAAATAATCCTATCTTTAAAAAAGAAATTGGACAAACCACAAATTAAATCCCTAAGGAAAAAAAAAATCTCAGGACTTGATAGATTAACAAGCAAGTCTACCAAACATTTAAAGAACAACTCATTTCAATACCATATAAACCATTTGGAAAAATAAGTAGTCCTACCATAGAAAGAATGACACAAATATGGTTTTGATATTTAAACTAGGGAGACCTAAGACAGAGAAACTATAGATCAATTTCTCTAATTAATATTGATATAAAATTTGTAAGTAAAATGCTAGCAAGGAGATTACAGCAATGTATCACAAAGATCATACATTATGACTAGGTTGGATTTATACCAAGATGCAAGATTGGAGCAAAATTGTACTAGAAATTCTAGCTATAGTAATAAGACAAGACAAAAAAATTGAAGGAATAAGCATAGGCAATAGAGAAATAAAATTTTCACTTTTTGCAGCTGATATGATGGTATAGTTAGAGAACCCTAGAGAGTCAACTGAAAAACTAGTCAAAACAATTAACAACTTTAGCAAAGTTGCAGGATATAAAACAAACCCACAGAAATCATTAACATTTCTTATATTACCACCAAAACCCAGCAGGAAGAGATAGAAAGA